AATCATCTTATATAGTCCTATATAATTTTATATATCCTATATAGTCAGAAATAACTCGATAGAATCAACAGAATTATAATGAGTTCCGTTTAAATTACTCCAATAACAACATTTAGAAAGTTTCCAGAAAAATCATTTTCAAAAGGTATTGTCAATAATATGTTTTCTACAAAAGACTTAACAGAATTTATAAAGAAGACAGCAGATAATTTTTGAGGATGTTTAGTAAAATTCAAATTTTTATAATTTATAATTTTTAAAATTCAAATATTTTCTCATTTATTATAGAAAAGATATGAATTAAGAACGATCAAATTCATATCGAACGATGATTTGTATCTTTCTCTCACGGTAAACTATTAAATAATAAGAATTACAAATTAATCAGATGTTCAAAATGCAATTACAATGATGATCTGATAATTCGATATATTAAGTTGATTAAAAAAAAAATAACTCAATCACGTTGAGAGATGAATAAAAAATATATTTTATTCGCGTGAATAAAATTGTTTAATAATCAAATTTCTGTCTCTCTCTTCATAAGAATATTACATCTAAGTACACAAATTAATTATTTAATTGTTTTAATTGTTAAACAAAGCAAAATGATATAAAAATATTTATATTTATTGATATATACATTAACTACTTATATATATGTGTGTGTGTGTGTGTGTGTGTGTGTGTGTGTGTGTGTGTGCGCGCGCGCGCGCGTGTGTTTGTGTGTGTGTGTGTGAGAGTGTGTGTGTAATTTTATATATTACATATATATATATATATATATATATATATAATATATTATATATATAATGCTGAATCGATTTTTGTTTTTATAAAATTAAGATAGTGTTTTTTTATAATTATTGCTATGTAAAATAAATCCTTTTTACTTTTCTTTCAGACAAGAGGTAATGTGTGTGACATAATAAAAAATAAAACATAAAACAAGATAAATCAAGATAACAGAATCATTAAACCAATAAAAATAATATAATAATAATATATAATAATCTTAATATATAATATATAATATATAATAATAATATATAATAATCTTAAGATAAGAAAAAATTTCTCTGCTAAGAAAAAACAAATAAAAAAACAATAGAAAAATAAAAATATAAAAATTACAACAGAAAAATAAAAATATAAAAATTACAACAGAGAAATCTGCTAGACTTACCCATTAGAAAAAGTAAAAGTGGTGATATGAGAAACATAGTCTTATATATTTTTTAAAAAGAAGAAAAGCTATCATTGTCTTCAAATCGTCTAGTATTGCGCCGTCACGGTAGGATGTAGATTATCCAATCGAAATCGAACGATCCTTCAGAAAGTGATCTAATAGAACTCCGAAATGTAATAAAATACATTATAGCACTTTATAATAATGAATATTTTCACTGAGTTGGAGCTGTAGTATCACAGAGAAATAATAACTTCAGATTGCTCAACGTTAATATAGCACATTAATATCCGCCATTGTCTAAAGTTCCCTAGGTCAGGTCTGTCCTATTAATCATATATGTAAGAAATTTTTCAATTTAAAAATTTTTAACTATAATATTTCTTATAATTTCTTTCGCAATGTTAAAATTTATAATATATAAAAATATATACATATTAATTATAACAACATAAATATATATTAACTTATATAAGACTTATACATAATCTATCCATTACAAGTCGATCTTTGCACACAGAATATTATTCAAATCATACGTCCCTGTTTTAGTTATTTTGCATGAAGAACCCGGTTCGTCCGACATATGTCAGACCAGTGTGAAAGCCGGATAGCTTACATTGCCAATTGGCCAGTTAAATACTAGAATCCTCTGATTGGTGATCAAATGGAAAGTTTCTAAACACTAGTCAATATATGTGGATGCGTGATAAAGAGATTCTTCTATATGAAAATATTGTAAAATAAATCTCAATGGAATTTTTATGCGCATGTATAAATAATACATTATTTCCATATGAGTGATATCTGCAGACTTATGTTTAGATGCATTATATACAATGCTTCTTATCTATCTAAATATATATAAATTTTCTAAATAATTAAAAAATTACTTAAAAATACATAAACATTAAAAGAAATATTAATTAATTTTTATTTAATTAAAAGTTAAATATAAACTCTGTATTTTTGTATTAATAATCTAGAAAAATTGATAAGTATCTAAAAAAACAATATTAAAATAAATATTTATAAACATTTTTAAACATATTTATAAATATTTCACAATCTCTGTGATTATAAATAAATATTTTATTAAACACCTAAAAGTTTTTAAAATAAAATCCCGAATATATATTTTGTCTACGCATTATAGATATTAAGACTTCATGAAAAAATTTAAGATAAAGAAGTCTATTTATAATTATATCCATTATTAATAATATAAAATTTTATTTAATACACATGTTTTAATGTATTTGTTTCACCTATCTTGATATATATACATATTTTATAATTGTGCGAATTTTTATCACAGAACGATATGTTTAAAATATAATGCAAAATTGATCTGCGTCCATGTCAGTAAACCTGAATTCTTAAATATTATTGAATTAAATATTATTTTCGAGAAGAGATCAGATTCTTCGAGGTCTCGAAAATCTATTATTAACGGCTGTTATCTGTTTCAAACAGAATGTGACAAATATTTTGAGACCGTTATTTATTGTCGTGTTTGTTCAAGATCTTTGAATGTGACTGCTTTTTATAACAGAAATGATAAAGAGCTGATTTGATAAAGATTGAAATTGAATGATAAATTATCAAAATTCATTTTATATTGTTATTAATTGCAAGTGCAAATATTTGTTTTATAAATCATCTCAAGAATTCTTCACAATAATGTCAAGTGTGTATTACTATCGTGAAAATAAAAAACAGGTATTTAATTTTTTTATTAAATAAGTAATACATTGAATCAGTTATAAAAATTGCTCACGTAAAGTTGCTATCGTCGTTATCTAATTTTCCTTATCCAAATCTTTTTCTCTGCTCTTATTCATCTATCATTACTTCTCTTTATTATACTCATGCGATACTTACTCGCGAAAACATTAATTATAATCAGTTATACAAAGCTTTGATATGTTTACGAATCATTAATATCTAATTATAATAAAAGTAGAATATGTGATATTGCGTTATTCCAAGATACTTAAAATTAATCTCAACGATACAAGCACACAATTTTGCCGTTCTAGACTTGCAGCGAACGATAACAGAATAATTGCGTGTGTTCAAGAAAAACATATTATACACCGAAAATATGAAAGTTAAAATTTATCATACTGAATATATCTTATTTCTCTCAAATTAATTTTGATAAGTGATCGCATGCAAAAAAATAAAACATCGCACACACAATCGTTGCATATAAAAAATAAAATTTAATAGAATTATTTATATTCAATAAATTATTTATGTAAATTAATTCAATATTATTTCTTTACATTAAATTTTTATTTTTATTTTGAGAAGAACAGAATTATGTAATATGTTAATGTAAATCTCACAAACTTTTTTTATGTCAATGTGATAAAATTAAATCATTGTGAAAAATTATTCATATATAATTTCAAACATATATTTTATTTTATATAAAATAATAATTTTATCGCATAAAAATTATCCAGCTAAAAATCATTATACGTCGATAATTTCATATAATGACGTCGTATAATGCACAACTCACACTATCAATTATTAAAAATCTAATAAAATTAATTTAATTTATCTAACTAATATATATATTATTTATATATATATATATATATATATATATATATATATATAAATCGATTTATGTATTAAGTATTACATTACATTTATAGCGAATATATTGAATCTATGATATATAAATATGTGAATAACTGAAAAATGATATTTTCAGTTTTAAATGTTGCTCTTTAGATATTATTATTCTTATTATTATTTTAAGATAAACATAATTTAAAGAACATAGAGTAAGAAATTAAATATTTATATACGTCTTAATAAAAATATAAACATATTAGATATTAAGTACATATATATATATATATATATATATATATATATATATTGATTATTAAGAATAGTGTAAGGAATGATAAATCCCAGCACATTTTATTATTTTATTAAAATTAATTATAGTATACAATGTAAAACAATTTACATTGTCCACTATAACAAATTTTGATGAGGAAGAGAAAATCATACACATTATTTATTTCCCATTGTAAAATGTTTCTAAAATTTCAATAAACATATCTCATCTTTATTTTTTAAAAATATATACCTGTAAAAGAAAACTAATGAGATAATTACAGAATCCATCAGTGTACAAATAATTTATTTCTTAATTAATAAAGATTTTTTGTTTCATCATTGAATATAATTTATCATGTCATTAAATTGTGAATCATAAAAATATTATAAAAATTATAAACATTGTATAGTCTATGATACTTATACTCACTGAGAGACGGCTTCCGTGAGAAATGAGTGATGAATTCAACCCCTCTATATCGATTTTTCCCCAAGGCAGAGTTACTCCGGAGACCGTCGCTTGCTACTTAAGTGTTTCCTAGTTACCGATGCAACGCGAAAGAAACGAGAAAGCGTACGCGCCTTTTTAGTAAACTAAACAATAATCATGATTCTGAATTGAGGATATTAAAAGTAGAATAATAAATACTAAAAAGAAGATACAAGATCCACGCGATAGATCTCGATGATCTCAATGAGACTTTCGCTACTTTCATTTTCTTAGTAAGTAAAATTCAGTAATTATTATTTATAAAGTATTGCACATTCAATATCATATATATATATATATATATATATATATATATATATATATATATATTACTGTTTATATATATTTTATATTTATAATCACAAAAATCCTTTCAATCATTCTCTTATCAATTTTTTAGCAGAAGTATACATATAATATGTATATATAATTATTATAAAAATTGCTACCAAAGAGAAATGAATATACAGTCATAAACACAATACATTATGACCATGAACTGACTACATCGATAATGAAGGCTTGACAATTAATGCCAATCAATGTTAATTTGTTTACTACATTTAGTGTTCAAAAACATATTCATTGCATTCAAATTACAATATTGAATGTACAAAAATTCTAAATATAACGCAGCATACTATTCTAAATTACTATATCGTGTTCACACAGAAGACAACAAAGGACTAATGACTGGTAACATGCTTTAAGAGTGAATGTAACTCGCGGGTATCGAAGCCTGAACTATTCCGCACGATTAACCAGTACGGATGCGCTAACACGTCCCCATGTCGAATCCCTTAAGAGAGACTCGCGCGAATGTCGAGCTGGAGGGGATCCTCTACCTTTAGTAGGACAGCTCGGATTATGTATCTTCGGGCCGACTATGTGCAGTCTTGTTTCACTGACGGCAGCCGCGTGCAGTGCACGTTGCACGATCACCGTCGAAATTGACACATCGGATTGTCGATCGATCTTTCTAACTTCTAATGACTCAAACGATAGTCGATCGCTTCCAATCAGCTGATCATCTTTGGCACAATATTCGACAGAGTCTATAATCTTCAGAAGTAAGCCATATGATTGCAATCTTGACGATCTCTTAGAGCTCTTGGAGAGGTAACAATTCTATAGAAGAAAGTGTTATCCGATCGGGATACTAATGACGGAGAGATCTGGTAAGATCGATTTCGTTCAATAGTGATTAATCGTTGCAAACTGCAATATAGAAGATAAAAAATGGATTTTCACTGGATGAATACGACATAAATAAGATATTGTGGACGATAAAAAAATTCTTTTGTAATACTATATTCCGATAAAAATGTATATTTATTAACGGAAAAAAGAAAAGAAGAAGGAAAATATGGAGAAAAGTTCAGAAATGAATATCATCGGATTGTAACTTGTTTATAATAAATATTTATAACGAAGAAAATGGTGTTCGACCCGGTCTGTGAGGAGCAGAGAAAGCAATTCTTTCGACAAAGTTATGGAGCTCATTTACCTGGGTAAGTGCATGTTTTTCATACATACTTTCAGAACAGCATTAATGTTTCTTCTCCTGATTAAATCATATATTTCGTTTACATTGTTTATGGAACTATTAACATTTTGTTGACAATATGCATGTATATCTCGTAAATTTATTTTACACACACACACACACACACACACACACACACACACACATTGAAAATATAAAATTAAAAATATTTTTGAAATATAAAATATAAATATAAAATACTAAAAATTTAATCAACACAACGTAAAATGAAAATAAAATTTAAAAAACATTAAAAGGTTGCGTGCTTATACCATATATATATATATAAAACAAGAAGTTAATAATACAATATTATTCTCTGCTAGAACTGCTATTCTTTGCTAGAACTTTATAAATTCACTGCTAGAATTAGTTCAATGATTATAAGAATTTAATTGAATTTACGGTTTTGTCATCTTAGTATTAAATGTTTCGTCAGCTTATTCAGTGTGTTGCGTAATGCAAATCCATAGCGTTTCAACAAAAAAAACTTGCAATTGCAAATATTATATACGATATAAGTAATAATCTTTAATCGATTATATCTAAAGATTTGTTTATATGAGTAAATATTAACTTCTTTTTATTTTCTTTATTTTTTACTCATTTTGTATATTAGACACTTATAACAAATAAATGTATTATGTATAATGAATGGATAGAGAATATTTAAAAGCTGTATATAGTTATAATACACATTATATTCTAGCATGTATTAATTATAATTATTCATTATAGCTAGATTCTATACTTAATTATATATTTAATTACACTATCTTATAATGCACTCATCTAAGCCAATAAAATTCATAGTCCGAATTTTATTAAATCATAAAGAAAAACAAATTCCTATTTTTATTTATTCTAAGTTCCTATTTTAGTTTATTATGGCAAGAAATAATTAACTGATAAATATTCATAAAAAAACTACAAATTAATATTAAAAAAAACTATAAGTTAATATTGAAACATTTGAAATATGAAATACTGCCAATATTAGAATAACTTGAAAAATTAAAGTAAAAAAATTTTAATTTATATGTTTTTGTTTATGAGAGAGTAAAAGTAATTTAAAAGTATTTTAAAAGTTTATCACAATTTTTTTAAATTGTTTCTAATATTCCTTGAGTGCTTTCAATTTTTTTAATCCTGAAATCCTTCTTTATGTATTAGTATTAAACTAAATTATTTTTAAATAATTAAATTTTTACTAATCTAAATTTCTAAATAAATGATAAAACGTATTTAAATTTTATGAACTTGATAAAAATATGGAAAGCGTGAAATTGATTCTGCAATAAAATTATTATTATTGAAAGTTTTTTAAGGATGCTTGTTCTGCACGAGATTTAATTCGAATTTTTCTTTTCGCAAGCAACGATTTCAAGCGATCTCCGATCTTGAACTGAATAGAAGCTGCAAAAACGGTATCTAAACCACTAATGAATTTCGAAAGTCGTCGGACCGTGACATCAATATATCATGATGTTGTACAATATCAAACAATTATCAAATTTAAATCTTAAAGCAAAAGTTTAAATAAAAATAAATCTCAAAGCAATATATAATGTTTTGCCAAAGTATCTATTAATTAAAATTATTCAAACGAGATACACATACGATCTTTGATATCCTATGTAACAATTAAGATTTTGGGTATATCAACATACTAAAAAGAGTCGCTTTAATACATAATGTATGTGCGCCAAATGCATTATGCATATTTGCAATATTTACCAATTGCACCGACATCGGGCGAGAAAATCGAAGCAGCCGGCATGTTTCGTTTCAGAGATTAGATCGGATTTAAATTAGCCGGACGGAACTCCCGGAAACATGCATTCCCACAATATTGACCTCGAAATCGCACATGGACGAAAGCGTTAGAGCACCGTGCTTGGTACCGTGCCAATTTACACCCTCACATACACGCAAATAATATCACATGTAAAACTACCCTCGTTTATAGTAGATCACTTCTGACTATTTATCGTGATTTATTGTAATTTCAACATATTGATCCGAATGAAAAAATGCACATTAAAGTCGATAAACAGCTCGAAAAAAAATATCTAAAAAAAAAATTTTTAAGTTAAATTTCTACTAGCTTTTTTCTCATGATAAAAATAGATAGAAAGATAATAATTAATAATACGTCAATGAGTTTTGGTTCTCTTTTCCTTTTCGTGAAAAAATTATAATTCTTATATATTTGTATTTCATTAAATATTTAAAAAGTATCAATTTTGATTTATAAATGGATTTTAAACCAATCTTAATTTCTATTTAATTAAAATAACACATACTACTAGCAAATTTTAAATTATAAAAAAGATGAAGATATATTTTTTGTAAATAAAGTATTTTTGTGCGGAGTTGCAATAACAAATAAACTTAGTCACTCTTAAATTCAGAGAAATCTATTACACGATCTCTTTTTCCTGACACTGATCTTGTGATATGCTAAGATGGTGCAACGACCTAGATACGATTTATGTATATCTCATAGCAGAATCGAGACACACATGACAACCGAGTAGGAGTGACTTCGATGATGTATGTCGCTGGTTATTCCACCGTGACCGCTACAAAATGAAGACTCGATTTACTGGGTCACCGGTAGTCCGCTTTTATGGTTCTGCGATTACTTTATTTAGGATTGGCCGCGATGCACCATTTTTTCAGACACATTTAAAGTGATGCTTATAATTAATGAGAGTAAATCAATTAGATAAATGTGGAAAATGCAAATTATTAGATCAATATTAAAATTATCCCGAATTTCGAAGTAATCTATAAATTAATGTATATAATGCATATAATTAATGCATAAATATCAGAAATTTTGTAATATAATAAATAAAATATTAATTGTTTTAATAAATGATGTGTAAATCATTATTTTAATCGTAGATTTACTATTTATTTACTTATTATAATAAAAAAAAATTTCATGCATGCATATATATATGTATACACACAATATTTTAGAAACTGGACATGCTTTATTAGACAGAAAAGCGCCTGTGCATATTAGTAATAGATCAGCAATTGTTAAATAGTGATAGTAATTTTGCATGCTACATTATATTCAATCATGGAAAAGTAGACTAGAAACTGATCAAAAAAATCTTCTAGTATATTAGTTGACCTTTTTTTATAAACGCGAAAATTAAATAATGTGCTGATACATATATCTGTAACACATATATTAATATAATCGCATATTTAAAGAATTATGTAGAAATACACGTTTTATGTGAAAAACAAGAAAACAAGTTTGCATAATGAATTATGTACTATTATCTCAGCATATTTTTGTATATCTTTTTATCATGAAAAATTAAAAACTGCAAATATAAGAAAAAAAATAATCTATCAATTAATCTATTATGCTTTATGTTAGTGTGAAGATTATATTGAATAAAATAATGAAGTAATAAAGAAGAAAGAGAGAATAGTAAATCATAATATAAAACTACTAGATATACATAAATATCATTATTTTAAAAATTGAAGTTGTGTTTTTTATTTTTATTGAAAAAAATGCTTCAACATAAAATATTATTATTTACTAAATTTATGTTTTAAAATTATGCATTCTATATTTATCATAAACTGTATATATGTACTTTTAGGTACACAGGTCATTGTCCTACGCTTAAATTTCGTGTTGGAAAAAGATTTGGAGCGAATACGGAAGAAATAATGAAGGTAAAAATATTTTTAAAGGCATCGAAAAAAATTATAATGGAAACTGTATAATTTCTAACAAATTACATAAACAATAAAAACGTATATGTAAAAAACATAAATAATTACAAAATACCTTGTATAACTAAATGATGCGTTTAAAAATTTAACTTTAATATGCTGTTGCATAGGAATTATTAGAAAAGAAAATCCTCAAGACTGGACCATATAAGCCAAATTCTGGTGGAGAAAATGAATTATCGAGTCCTCAGGTTAAAGAAATTAAAAGAGACTGGAACAACGAAGCTAAATTATATAAGGCACCTCCATACATCCTAGGATACACTGGTAATATAAAAAAATAATAAATATATGTACAGTCCGCAAAAATTATTTTTAAAAATGAATGTTAAAATATTGTATATATCCTCATAATTTTATTTAGTATTAATAAAAGATTCTAAACTAAAAAGATAAAAGAACCAAAAAGATTTTTTAAAATTATTTCCTCTTTCATTTTACATTTTTACTTAACACAAAAATTAATATAAAAATATTGAATTATTAAAATATTGAATTTATAAATTTGCTACATATATTGGTCATTACGAAAAGCCAATGTCAAGTTAATAAAAAAATATGATTGAAAAAAAATAAAGTAGCACACACACATCTATAAATTTTCTTTCATCGCTTCAGAATACCAATGTAGAACGAAATCACTTTGACCTTCAATGAACGCGATTAGTGAGCATTAACCGATCAACTTAAATTGTTTGTAATTAACAGTTTGCAAATTACAACTCATGCATGGCGAGCAAAATTTTAACTATATCATCGACCCACTAAGAGAGACAATACGTAGAATAACATTTTCAATCCTGAATACTTCAATGATATAAAATAACCATTTGATAATTTTTTTTATTAATTAATATTAAACTACCAAATTGCGTAATATATTATTTACTTTACACTATATGTTATTTATCAAGATTTATAAAATTTAATATATAAAAGCAATAGAAACTAAAATAAATTTTGTTTTATAATTATCATTTGACATACTCAATATAATTCATTCAACATATAAATCATGTAAGGAAAAAATCGTAAGCGTAATCACGTAATAAATAAAATAAAAAACATCATAAGCAATTTATTTTCTACTTAAATTTAAAAAATCTATTTAAATTATACATTTTATTTATTATATCTGATTTATTATAATTATCTTAAAAATTTATAACATATTTTTTTGTTTACATGTATAAAAAAATCTAATTTTCTTTATTTATAAATTTTAAAAAGATTTCATACGTATTCTCTCTTTCTTTCTTTCTTGTTTAATGCGAATTATGTTTGATATTGATTTATCACACAGGATATATTCCTGGCTTCAACAACAGATATGGTTTACCCTTTATGAAAGCTGTAGAAGTCGGTGCCAAAGAATGGCATGAGGCACAAATGAAACTGAGAGCACGACGTGATGCAATGAGGGCTCATGCCGAGCGAACAGATCCAAGAAATCTTCTATCTCGAGCAAGAACAGATAACGTGGACATCGAGATCGACCACGGTTATGATAGAGACAGAAAAAGTTTTGGTATTTATGCTTCAGTAGCTTATCGATCATTTCCAACCCAATGCGTAGTGTCAATATATTATTTTTAATTTATTTCATTTTCAAACAATCAAAATAAATAAGTTATAAGTTTGAAGCGAAACATTAATGCCAAAAAACTATTGTCATTATTATTCTTATTGTTACGTCTTATTGTAGATTATCATGTCTCTCCGGAAAGACCGCCAATTGTCGGTTATACCGGTCACATTCCAGGAGCGAAAGGGGAAGTTGCACTTTCTAAGAGATACGCTCAAGCCGCTAAGAAAGGATTGGAACGTGTTCAAAGGGAACGTGAAGAAAGGCTCAACAGGGCTAAAGAAATGCTTGCTGTGCAAAGAGTCCTCGATAATGCATACCTCGACGAAACGGGACATACACGTGCATAAAATAATACAGAAACTTTTTAACTAAAGTATATAAAAAGGAAAAAATATATTTAAAAGAGGAGAGAAAAACAATTGAAAAAAGACAGAGTTTACATTTTTAACATCTATATAAAAATTACGAAATTTTGCAATGCAGACTAAAGTTATGACATTCGAATCTCACGTTTCGATTAATGAACATTTTGTGCCTTCGACAAGATCGCGAGTCAAAATATATAAATGCAAGAAAATAATAATGTCATATTTTATATATTATATTAGCAAATCTCTCTCTAATTGCGAAATTATACCTAAATAAAATTTATACCTTAATAAAACAATTTTTTAAAAATTGTAAGGGTAATTTTTAGTGTTTCAATGTCTCGAGTGAACAGTAATGAAAGATTTTGTTACATTTTCTACTTTTCGGATAAATATTTTTGCAACTAGATTAGATTTGTATAACAAAAATGATAGAATTATCATCAAAATAAATAAAAAATATATCTGTGGGAGATAATAGATTTACCATATTCAAAAACTGTTGCTAATTTTTGGTATATTTTTGACAAAATAGATTATAAAAGTATTTTTTTTACTATATATCTATTATACATATTAAAATGTCCTTACTATAAGACATTAAAGATTTAGGTCGAAAAATCGAATATGTAAGATAAATCTTTAAACCATATAAGAGAAGTTTTCCCTTTGATTACTTTTCAAAGAGAAGTATGACAATCGAGAAAAACCATTCCTTAAATTTATTTATATGGCAACTACATAGATTGTGTACCATTCACTCTAATATATTCGTCTGTAATCGAAGAAATAAATTTATTAATGTATGTATTATACAATACTATATTTCAAATGTTTTGAATTTTTAATATTAAGCTTCTGCATCCCTTGCACATATATACATATACGTGCATTTGAATATATTAATATAAATATATCTACTATAGAAAAAAATAAAATTTTTGGAAATATTTCTACTAGAAATATCTTCAAAGAAGCCAATAAAGATCACTGATATGCTAGTTCCATTTCGGATAAATGTAACTTGACATATATCTAAATTTTAAAATTTGCGAAATGGATTATAGCCAGTATATAAATAATATTCATATAAATCACATAAGAGAGAGATTAGTACAGTTTTATTTACTGAATATGTAATATGTGATTTGCATGTAAATAGCATAAAAGTTAAGTTCTAAACTTCTTCCCTTTTATAGAGTAATTAACAGTAGAAAAGTGTAAAATGTAAAAATATAGCTTTTTCATCAGTATTATATAAAATAATTTCGAAAAACATATGAAACAAAATAAATACTTGCGTTGCTTCTTCTCCTAGAATTTATTATCTTCCACGCTGCGGTAACCTGCTCATTCTTTCCATTTCCAATTGTACAGTTTTCTTCCAGCATTCTATATCTAGTGTTGTCTGTCCATAGGATAAGGACATTAATCTAGCAAAAACCATTAATGAATGCAGATTATCCATACTTATATTCTTATTCACGCTTCGCATCTCGACAAAATCATCTTGGATAATCTAAAATATTAAAAAAAAGTAATATAAAACACATAATAGTACACATCAAGTATAAAAAATAATATCTAAAAGAAAAATCAAATATACGATAAAATTTAGAAAACAAAATAAACATAGATGTTAATGTTAAAAATCAATGAAAATATGATCACATACTTTTGTGATTTCTTCATTGAAAACAAAATCTGTATGTCTAAAGATTTCCAAATATTGGCGAATATTCGTTAATCGAGTTTCATCGTTTAAGTACTGATATGCAGCTTCAATTACTTGACTATATATATTTTCTGATTCTGTATCAATATTTAACTTAACTTGAATAGGGCACTATAAATAAACGTTTCGTAGATTAATTTTTGAATAAGATGCAATTTCTTTTGTGAAACAAATACTTACAGGAATAAATGACTTTACATCAGAAAAAATTAAAATTGGGATATCTGTTTCATATTCCATTGAATAATATTTGAAATCATATGTCAGTTTTTGAAACATAAGCAGATCTGAAAGAGCTTTATAGTTTTCCTTGCCAGTGACATTTAGTTCACCAGTGCTTAAACCAGTCTCATCTAACACAAGATGTGTATTATCGCTTAATTGAAGAATACCACTTGTCAATCTATTGCATTCATAATCCTTTCTAAGAGAAATAATACAAAATTATTCGATAATATGTACAAGTATGTAACACAAGTATAATAAGATAAACTTACTTTGGAATTAAAGCTAATTCATTCAAATTTTCTAAAGTCACTTCCAAAAAGTGACTTTTCTTTACAAGTAATGTTAAAAAGTTATAAAATTCTTTTGGAAATGTCTTGAGTCTACTAGCTGGAAAATTTGTTATATTTAGTGGAAATGCACCAAGACAAAAGAAATCTCTTCTCATATATCTAAAAATATTATGAAAAATAAAATGACACGGAAATTTAATATTAAAAAAAATACTAAATAATAAGAGAATAAAATACATACATCATAGAGAGCAAGTGACATATTAAATAATCTGCTGCTAAATGATCTCCAAATAATAACTGACTCAACATTATATGTAAATCACTTCTGATGAGTTGCGCTTTTGATATGATTTCTGGAGCATTTACAATTTCAGATTTTGTCAGTGCAATCAGCTTTATTGCATGTAACCGAGGTACCAAAGAAGCTGGAGGGTTATGAGTATTGACTTCATTCATCTCATCCTCTGAACAATTAATTGTATTTAACATTGGATCCAATGATATAAAACCTATTATATCAATAACCTGATTCAATTTTAAAATTGTTCCGTCATAAATCTATAAAATAAAAATTTTAAAAATTTAAAGTTTAAAAATATATAAAATATGCAAAACACTGCATAATTTAGATAATTTACCTTCACTATGCAAACTTTTCCTCCATCAATCGGAATAGGAAAGTTTAATATGTGGTCTTCTGATAGTATACTCTGAACTTTTGAACGAGCATTACTTATATTCATATCGCTATCATTTGTCAAAATCTTTTCTTTCTTTGCAACAGACTCTGAACAATCCATTTTCTCAATATCAGTATCATCTAGACTTCTTTTATTCTTCATATTATCATTGTGTGTCATTGAATTAAATTTCTGTACATTTGTTTCTATACATTTACTTTGTTCTTTTGCCCATTTGTTTAAGCCAGGTATAGACATTACAACGTAAGTTTGTCTTTCCGAATGTTCGTTCTTGTTAGACTCAAAAAATACTTCTTCATCCGACTAAATAAAAGTTAATAAATGTTATTGTACAAAAATGTTTTATAAAGTTTAACTTCCTATATATGTGTACAATATTATACATGTATAAAGATAAATGTATGCAATATTATACATGAGATAAGCTATTCTTGTAGCATCCCATACCTGAATTGCATATTACTTTTAATCTAGACTCTAAATTATATCCATTACTCCTCATATAAGAATAAGGACAACACAATGCTATATCTACAGAGTCATATAAAGAAATTCTAATATTCTAAATATATTTAGAGATAAAACGAGAAAATGGATTACCAAACATCGAGCTGCATCTGTGTACATTCCACATCTAATATCACTCTCCCCAGTTTTTGTATTCTTCACTTCATATTGTTTAAAAAAATATTCAGGATCATACATGTCCTGGACCATCCCTCGAAATCTAACCAATTGTTTATCTGTGATATCATGTAATTGAACATTGTTTAATAAAGGTATTTCCTTCAATATATCTGAATTTTCTAACATTTGTTGACAGGATAATTGATTTTTGACATAATATTCTGTTGTCCAATTTCTTACTTCAATTGCTATAAGTTAAAAAAAGTTAGTCACATATAACTTTATATGATATAAAATTACATCCTAGATGCACCCTATATATTCTTCTTTCTTTTATGCCCATAATCTAATATACTTGTTTCAATTAAAATATTAAAGGTGCAAAAAGGATTATTTATTGAAAAAGCATGTTCATTGAATAAATATAAAATGCAAATATACGTACATGTCATTTTAAGAACACGTATTATTCTGATTAATAATTAAACTTAATTGAATATAAATGAAGATTAAAAACCTTAAGACAAAATATAATTTCCACGTATTTTCGATCCTTCGACCGAAATTATGTAGTAAGATTTGGCGGCAAAATATTGACATAAATTATAACATATACTATGAGAGGTAATCTTATGCCTTTTGTCATCAACGACACGAACAAAACTGATGTGAGAGGTGAGAGGTCTAGCGACCTTTTCATTGACGCTACTTTTTAGCAGAGAGAAGACTGAGAGGTGTCATGGTCCGCTTTTAGGTGATCCCTGAAAGCGATACGCCCTCTGTCTAAAAAACGTGGACATGAACTACAAAGCCAAAGTCCACGAAAGTTCTCAGAGAGTAACATATATGTGCACAATTTCTGATTCTGTTCCGTGCTATGTAAAAAATGCCTGTAGTACACGAAATGCCTATGTACACCAAATGCCATCAGTGCTGTATAGCAAAACGCATATGTATATAAATATAAATAAAATTTAATTTTAATTTTTTAAATAAATTTTGTGGTCCTCTCTCCCTCCCTTTCTCTCTCTCTCTACACATACACAAATAAACACACACACATATAATATATATATGTATATATAGTATAACGCTACAACTTTATTCTGAAATATCTGCGTTATGTTTAGAAATATATATATATATATATATTCAATTTAAAACATTACATGAAATACACGCGCTGGAATTACATATATATATTCTATGTGTACATAAATGCAGATATATTATCTCTTTTCGAAAGATGTTAACATTGAAAAATTTAAATATAATATATATTTAATTAATTGATTCATATCTATTTATGTCGTATCATAAAGTAAGAAGTTAAAATTTGACTTCAATCCCGAAAAATACTGTGATCTTCCAGTGTAATGTTCAAAGATAAAATAAATATTTTTCTATACATTTAATGTCATATTTATATATTTTAATTTACAAAAAAACAAAATGTCTGTTGTGGAATAAAAACCTTTTTAACCGTATTTCCATAAATTTTTTTAATTAGCAGTAAAATGATCTTTGATATTTATCAATCATTTTTTTAAATTATTTAAAAATGTAATTATTAATACATGTATAGAATTTGTTAAAGTAATCACTGATTCTTCTGAAGCTTTTATAATTAAGATTCGAAAAATATAGATGTTGCAAAATATTTTAAATATCTCTTCCTTTATATAAAATATAAAGAATTCATATGTTCTATTCGAAAAATATAGATGTTGCAAAATATTTTAAATATCTCTTCCTTTATATAAAATATAAAGAATTCATATGTTCTATTCTAATATAGTCAACATTATTTGTATACTTTTATTATAATTTTCTTACCAGCATAATATTTTTATGCTTAATATTTTATATAATATAATGTACTAAATTATAAAATTTAATATAATTACAAAATAGTATTATTATTAATAAATAGATTGCACATTGTCTTTTAGTTTCTAATTATTTTCAATCATTATGCATTTCTATCCAATATATTCTCTTCTTCGAGTTCTTGGATTATTATGGTTTATTGTATTCCTTTGTATTAAAATTATAAAAATTATCATCATTTGTCATTCCTTCCTATGGAATCCAACGAAATACTTTCTATGGACATTTGTTCTCAGGTATAGATATTCAAATCACTGTAGTTGCCTTTTTCTCGATTATTGTCCCTTTTTCTTTCATTTTATTTAAAAATATTAATATAATTACTATAACAAATATAACAAATATATAATAATTAATATAACAAATATTTATATAATTTTGATATTTCTCTTAGTCTGACACTTCCCCTTCGATTTGTCCGGCATAGATAACTCTATCAATAACTACGATATAGGTATTCATAACTCACTTTTATATTTAAGATCATACTTAAAATTATCTTAAATATAAGAAAAGTCTATACGAATATCGGTGTATGTTACCGCCGGCATAGCTCTCAGACTCATTAAAATACTCAAACCTCCTCAGCCGGCAAATGCCTTCCTTAAGATGGAGATATCATCGAGAAGGCAAAATTTTTCATTTTATTTCAATACAGAATTTAATACAAAAAGTTAATGTAAAATATAATATTATATAATTTGAAATGTAATAAATTAACAATCCTTTTTTTTACGTGGGGAAAACAAACTCTCTTAAAAAACACTCAAAAAATATTGATCCATAAAAAATTCTTAATATTAATAATATAATTATTGAAATATTTATTAATTTGTTTTCCCTAATATTATTTAAACCTACATTTCCTGATTCCTTAAAAGATACATAATATAAAATCAGCTAAATTAATCACATAATAGCCCTAACAATCCTCTACTTTTTGAATGGAAAATTAAAAAATCTTAATGCTCACCTAATAGCCCTAACAAACCTATTTCTCAATTAAGTGAAATTATTCGAGGAAAGCCTATCTCTAATCACGTATATTTTAATTACGTGCCCTAATTACATTCTCTAACCGCATGCCCTAACCGCGTGAATAAATGTCCGACACAGCTTACGTACTATTGTACGTAAAGCTTTTCTTCAGGCCAGTTGAACTTACTTTTCGTTGAGCCTGGCCACTTTCTCGCTCGATCTCTAATCAGAGATCGAAAAAGGAGATAAACACTCCTTCTTTTGCCGATTAATTACCGGCAAATGAGCGTAAATATTTCACGCTCATCGTAACGATCGCTCGATTTTACGATCGTTTGTTAAATATTTGAATATAACTTTATTTTAACTCAAATAAAGCCAAATTACTACAAATTTCTATATACTATATTTTCTAATAAAATATAAAATTCATGTGTGTGTATAACTTTTATGATATTACAAATTATTTAATTAATTAATCGTTTGGCTTTATTTTAAGTTAAAGTAAAATTTAAAAACAATATCTACAAACAAATTCTACAATGGATGAGCTATGATATAAGAAATTAGAATAAAATAAGTGCGCGTTATAAGAATAAAGTAGTATCAAAAATTGATATAATTGTTAAAATTATTAATGCGTGCTCTTGATTTAATAAACTAGTCAAGTCTTTACAAAAAAAATTTTCTTTTCTTGATTCTCTTTTTTAAATTAATACTTCAATATATTTTCGCAATAGATGCAAAGCATTTCGAAAGAATTTATTAAAAGTTACTTAATTTAATCTATCCTAGCTCATCCATTTTAAGGCAACGGACTTACTCTACAATTCACAATCTACAATCTACAATCTACAATCTACAATCTACATCTACAATCTCTACGAATCCGTTACCTTAAAGTTAAATAAAAGTTTTTCTTACTCACCGACACAGATGCGCAACAGCGGAGTTGTTGTTATCGAAGCTAGTTGTCTGTAACATACAAATATAAAATTCATTTATAATAATGTTCACAAAATGCAATCAATATTTCAAAAAATTTTTATCGCGCGGAATTTTATATCCGATGTGTAAAATAATAAGCAGAGATAAACACGTGTGGAAAAATTTTATAAAATTTTAAAACTGTTTTTCAAGAAAGTTTTTTAAAAAGTTTTATATAACTTTTATAAAAATCTTTCTCTCTAATTTTCTCTTTAATTCATTTAAATAATAACATCGAATTATTATGCGTACGATTTATAACAATTGATATACAAATAATAAATATTCACCATCAGGTTGCTCCGCCGATGCAAGATGCCTCTCCCAGGCCTCCTCCTCCTCTCATGTTGTTGACGCGCGATACTTTCAACGGCACTCCCGCACTCACGAGCGATATTTTTATATCGCTATTTTCGTTATTTTACGCGCGATACTAAACGGCACTCCCGCACTACTTCGGTATTCGGATTAAAAATTTGGTCGCGCGATGTATATATTTAATATATATATACTTTCAACGACACTCCCGGTTTCGGTACGAGCGAAAATCTCATTTCATTTACGAGACTTAACTTTGAGCCAACAGGTCGGGAGTGCAACGATACAACGAGCAAAGATTAGGCCCGAACCGGAAAGAAGACGAAACGATTGAGGAATAGAGGAAAATAAAGTTCACCAGCTCTTTTTCGCGCATAATTATCCTATCTCGTATCGAACCTGGACCCGCTAAGCATGATTTCAGGTGCTTCGCCCGGAACACGAAGTTTCCCGCAATGCAGGATATGGCTACACATGGCTGGTAGACGGCAAAAGAAGAGGATACCCACATTTTTTAAATGCTAACATTCAGCAATTTAAAAAATGGGGAGGCAACCCCTTTTACCGAGCGAAAATCATGCTTAGGGGAATCCACTCGACTCCTCGACAGGGTTAACACACGCAGTGCGTGTGGCTGTAGGGTAGACGAGCAAAGAGAAGGGACCCATTGACGACCATTCCGAACAATCGATCGAGTTCTAACTAATTCGGGCCGAATCATTTGACGAAGTACGAAGCACGAAGCGCGAGTGTACGTTGCATAACAACGTGTGCAAACTCGAAACATCCCAGTTAGTTGGCATCGGAAGTAGAGACTCGTGACAATAAATGAAATTGGGATTTTATATGAAAAAATCCAAAATTTCCGCGAAAACGCGACGACGCGAGAATACTACAACGCGAAAACGCGGTGACGAAACGCTTGCCGTCCGCGGCACGTTGACGGCACCGACGACGCGAAAGGGTACTTAGCTTCCCTTTCAAGCACCTTAAGATTTATCATAAATAGAAAAATTTAAGATAAATCTCAAGACACCATCCAAGTACTAAGCCCTCCCACCGCGACAAGGTGTACCCCATGGGAGGGTTATATTATATATAACTTCTTTTATATATAATATAATATATATAATTTAATATATATTTTGTGATATGGTATATAAATTTAAATTTGCATAATAAGACCATAAAACAAAATCATTAAGGCGGTACTGTTTATATCGGATACTATATTGTTGTTAATTCAATGTTGAAATATTTTAACATATTAATGTATTTCATATATCAAACGTATTAATGTATCGTAAGATTAAAATATTAAAATAATTACATGTTGTGATACATAACTTGTTTAATTAATAAGGATTTAATTAACAAGGAGAATTTTTAAAGTATTGGTCGAAATATAGTTAATTTTAATATTGTTAAAGAAATATTATAAGCATCAGTGATGGATATCATAACATAATTAATTCTTTTATCC